TTTTTTTTTTTTTTTTTTTTTTTTTTTATCAACTACGATTACAACAATAAATGGAGAAGGATTAACGTAAATGCGTTATCCTCTTTCACATATTTTACTGAAATAATACTAATAAATCTCTGATATACGGAATTGTGTGTATTTACAGGATATGCAATTGTATAAATCGTCTATCTGTCTCTCTCTCTCCCTCTTTCTCTCTGTTTTATATATGCATAGATTATTTGATTTACAAATCACACGATTATTATATAAAAATATGAATACGTACAAAATCTTCTGTAAACATCGAAAATTTAGTAATAATATTATAAATGTTGAATGAGTTTATTTAAGCACCCTGTATATAACTTGTGTATAATATTCTATTCTAATATAAGTATAAAATGCATTAGAATATTAAAATAATTGTTAATTAATCGAAATAAATGTGTATTGATGTTTAAAAGCACTGTGTATAGGTTCGGAGTACCGTCCTCTTCGAAATTCACCTTCAAACTGACACACGTTATCCTCTGTCAAAATTCTTATATTGAATGTTGTTTATATGACATTTCAAAAGTCACGCATGCGTATAACGTGAATACTGTTCTTAATAAATCGAAATAAAGATTATAACGTTTTGATTTTAGTATTTTGTACATTATAATGTAATTATTTTATTGCACTTGCACAGGTAATGACTATGAGGGTTAAATTGTCCTATGATATAATTAGAGTGTATTGGAATATTAAAGTAATTGTTAATTAATCAAAAAGAATGTGTATTAATGTTTAAAAGCAAGAAATATATATGTCAGAAGCACCGTCTTCCTCAAAATTCACCTTCAGACTGGCACGTCATTCTCTATGAAATTACTTTTATAAGATGTGGAAAAGTGGTGGGGAAAGGGGTAGAAAAGTAGTGTGTGAAAGGGTTGGAAAGTGGTTGGGGAAGGAATAAGCTTTAAGGAAGCTTGAGAGGACAATTTAATCCTCATAGTTGAATAAATGCAGTTACATAGACTGCAATAACTCCAGACTGACCACTTGTCAGTCTGAAGGTGAATTTCAAAGAAAACGATACTCCGATCATATACTTGGTGGTTTTGAATAACAATACACATTTCTTTCGATTAATTAATAATTATTTTAATACTCTAATGTGTGTGTGTGTGCATCCTACTTATATTARAATAGTTATACAGGGTGCTCAAATAAAACCAGTCAATATTTATATAGTATATAGGATACACTGTACTAAATAAAAAAGTTTTTAGTATTTATAGGTCGAACAGTTATATATATATACATAACACTCGAAAAATAATCTTCCGTAGCAATAATAGTTGTTAGGAGTTTGCCACGATCAAAAGAAAAGAAAAGAAATAAAAAAAGAAAAAGAAAAAGTAAGAGTAAAAGAAGGAATGGTTTCGTCTAACAAAGGAAGAGGGTGGAAATTGCAAATGCCATTTGGTAAAAGTTTTCGATGCTTCTCGAGCAAACCACTTTTGTCTTAACTCGACATACTCTTGTCGAATAATGCTGACAAAGAAAAAAAGAAATAAAAAAAAAAAAAGGGGAATTGGAAAGAAAGAAAGAAAGACAGAATAAAAGAGAAAGAGAGAGAGAGAGAGAGAGATATTATTAAAATGGGATTGGCACGTGCATTATCTATCTGCTATATGACTTTCTATTTTTCAAGTTAAACCATTATACTTGTCACATTCTTTGTCGTAATACAGGGTGAACGATAAATCTTTCTCAAATGTAATAAAAATTACGACAAATTTTTCACTTTTCTCTGTTTGTTTTTTTTTTCTTTTCTTCTTCTTTTTAAATTAAATGAAAGATAACGACGTTCCAAATAAAATTGTAATTCTCATATTTAAGATTTTTCAAATAACGAGAAATACGAAGAGACACGTCTTACCTTCTTAGAATTAGCGTAGTATCTGGCAAACGCGTAATTAGTTAAAACATATAGCATCGTGGTAATTAAGTTAATTTAACGTGTTACTCGTAAGGAGTGTTGGCTCGCAAGCTTGTTTCCAAGAAAAGCTACCTACCTACCTCCTAGATAGGTAGGTAGGCGTTAGGTAGGTAGGTAGGTAGGTAGGTAGGTAGATAGGTAGGTAGCTTTTGCTAGAGAAGTATAGTGTTGTTGCAGTGGCAGACTTGCTCGTTTATCCGTTTTAATGTGCCCAACACCATCACCACTACGAAATTACGAGTCGTATATTTACAGTTAAAGGATTTGTTAGTACCAAACCAAAATCCTTAAAGCCTAAGAGTAGGAATCATGGTGGTGGTGGTGGTGGTAACAGTGTGATAGTAAAAAAAAATCAAGAGAATAGAATAGAAAAGAAAGAACAAAAATTGAGAGATAGAATAAAATAGGAGGAAGGAAGTTTAGGGACCATCATCATAGTCATACAACTATCTTCTTCATTCGCCTTTTTTTTTTTTTTTTTCTTTCATAGAACCAACCCCAGAACGATGAAGGGAAACGAGCGAAGGGACGGGTTAACGAGACACGTTCGTTAAAAACGACGATGTCGAAACGATGATCGTCGGAGAAGAACGTGAGCGTGACAAAAATCCTACCCGATGAAAATGTTCACAACCAACCTTCCTCAATCCCTTCTACCTTTGCCCTTTTTTCGTTAGAAAAGATTTTCATGCTACTACTACTACTACTACTACTACTACTACTACTACTACTACTACTACTGCTACTACTACTACAACTACTGTACTGCTATTCTCCCTTTTTTTTTTTTTTAAGGGAAATACGAAATACTTTTTTTTTTTTTAATTTTATTTTATTCCAGCTCGTGAATTCGATTTATATATATATATATAAAGAAAAAAGAATAAAAAAAGTAAATAAAAAATACTACAAAGATAGACATTGTTTCTTTTTTTTTTATGTTAAGCTCTTTGTCATTCAACGAACGTACTACATTGAAAAGAGTTAATCGATTATTACGCGTCATTTTCCAGCGATCTTTTATGAAAATTATTCCTCGTTCGTAACTCTGATCACGTTAACTTACATTTTCTTTTTTTAATCTCTTTCACCATTCATTTCTCTCTATCTCTATCCTTCTTTTATTTATTTTATTTTCTTTTTTCAGTACGTTTCACGTTCGTAAAAAAACCTTCCCCCCCCCTCAAAAAAAAGAAACTTTACAAAATAATTTTTATAAAGATATAAGAACTTATAAATTCATTATTGATATTCGAATGAACGAGTTGAATTTCGATGAATAGCAGGTACCTACTTGAAAATATTTTACTGTATCGTATATTATATTTCATACATACATATATATATATATACATGTATACGTAACATATATATACTTATGTATTATACACAATTATTATTACATGATCAAAAAGTGAAAAACTTTTGAACTAAAACGATATTAAAATTCTTCGCGATTTTATGCGACCGTCAATTAGTATACCATGCTAATACATTCTCTCTCTCTCTCTTTATCATTTATTTTATTTCTATTCATGTCCTATAAGGGCCTCCTTTAATTACGCGACTTTCGTTCGAAGTATTTTCGACGAAGTGCCGATGCTTTTGGTGAACTGCAATAGCTAGGAGAATAAAAGAGAACGAGGAGGAGGAGGAGGAGGAGGAGGAGGCAAAAAGGTAAAAAGGGATATGAGGAGGGAAGAAAGGGACGTGGTAAAGGGTTTGGTTTGAAATAGTGCACTTGCGCGCGAGCGCACGCGTACTTTTGAAATTAGAAAAGTTACTACGAGCAATCCGCACGAACCGCAACATTCTAAAAGCCGAAAATTCTTCTCTCGACATTGGCATAATGCGATTTCACGCTATACTGCTTATACATTATTCTTATATATGTATAACTATAATAATACATATATATATATATTTTCTTTTTAGGAAAAAATTTATTTACCCACTAACATCCAATAAAATGTAATTATTACAAATGAAAAGTTTGAATTTGACAATGCAACTTAAAATTCCTTATTTCTACATTATTATTAAAATTATTTTAAATAAATATTGAACGTATTATAGTTTCTATAAAATAAATTAAAAACAAAGAAAAACCATCAGCTACGATATATAATAGAATAATTTTTTATAGTTTTCTCGTATCGATTATTATTATTATTTTCTTTTTCTTTTCATAAGAGCATGGACACGAATGGTTTTTACTAGCGAAATAAAAGGGACGATAAAGTTGACATAATAATAATAAAATATCCGCTTACCTTTATATTATTTTTTTGTTATGTTCTTTTCCTTAGGTGCCAGGAATGTCCCGTGGTGAAACCAACGTTCCTCTGCGGAAGTGACAATCGTACTTACAGCTCACCGTGTCGTTTGGAGTACCATAATTGTATTCACCACACCTCCGTCCACATCAACTGCAAAGGTTTCTGTCCGTGCAAAGGTGAGCAATACTGAAAGATTCTTCTTTTTATTCTTCAAATGAAAACTTCTTTAGAACGTGGCTGGTGATTTGAAAACAGTTGAGACGAAAAAGCGACAGGTAGCTATAAACAAAATAAACAAACTTATTATTTTTACGACGATCATTAAATGTCTAACATTGATCAATTTTTCAAGCTTTAAAAATTTACTTTTCATGTACAATACTAATTATTATTCTAAAACATATGTATAACTAATTAAACAAATTACATTTAAATTTTTATATAATTATTTATTTAAAAAAAAAAAAGAAAAACATTACGCCTGTAGGAATGCAACCCACGAGACACACTTTGAAAATGTTGCTTGCGAGCGTCATCTGTTGGGACGGAATCTTTTTTCTGCCCGAAAGATAGGCAACCCGTAATACACGCGTGTATAAACAGTTTGAACTGACAAAAAATTCCGTTCCGGGAGATGGCGCTCGCAAGCGACATTTTCAAAGTGTGTCTGGAGGGTTGCATATCTACAGGCGCATATTTTTATGATTATTAAATAAATAATTAGCAAAAAAAAGTGTAATAATGTTGACGATAAAATAAAGATAAAAGAATTTTCTTAAAGAGTTGGCTGTAATAAATTTAAAGTTAACGGCGAAGGAGTATAACCCCCATCGTATTTACATCTGTTCGCATTTCCCTATGCATCTGACGATATGCTGATTTGCATGAATATTCATAGTAACCCGTTAGAACAATAACAGTCGGGGGGGTCACGCCTACAATACGCTTTACGTATATACCTACGTATTCTAACTTATGTTTGTATTTTGGTATATATATATGTGTGTATGTGTGTGTGTATACGCGTATGTATGCATGTATTATGTATAAATATAGAAACCTATGTAACAACCGATTAAATCAAGAGAGGGGTTACGACGTCGTTCGTGAATATACACCCACTCACACACATACACACACATATGCATACGTACGCCCGTGTGTTAACACCGAATGACAGACAGACAAATGCAAACATAAATGCAACCCTGAATGTGAATATCATGAAAAATCATCGAGTCGTAGAAATGAATGTTTAACGCTCGATTATAATATTCATGATGAATGGTTGGAAATAAAAAAAAAAAATAAAAAATACTACGTACGTTGAAAAATATTATTTCGCATCTCGTTGACGGATTTGCAAAACGTAGAGAGAGAGAGAGATAGATAGAAAGAGAGAAGAGAGAAAAACGATAAAATCCAAACGATTTGTACGTTTTTCCCTGTGAACTAACACGCCGTGCCGCAAATTATTAGATCTATCAAATAAATAAAAATAATGAAATAAAAAATAAAAGAGAAAGAGAGAGAGAGAGAGAGAAAGAGAACAAAATTGTCCATTGGCATCGTATTATTATTTATACAACGTTTCGTTTAATATTTCGAAACTTTTGAAAAATAACATTTATATCATTTGAACTTGATGGTTTTTTTTTTTATTTATTATTTTATTTGATTCGACTATATTATAAATGATCGTAGAAAAAAAAAAATAAAATTTCTTTGTCAAATATAGTTTTATTTGTTTGTTTATTTTGTTTTATTTTATTTTTTTTTTTCATAAACAAAATTTAAATATGAACACGTTATTATATACGAAATAAAAAGGAATGAAGAAATTTTCGTTGAAATTTCTAATCGGTGGTATCATCTTTGGTCTACGTCGTAAACAAGCATGATATTTGCATAATGAGCAACGTCATGCGGAGCAGCATAATGCTGGTTGGTTGGTTGCCTTGCCTTGCTTGCCTTGCCTTTCCTTTCCTTGCCTTTCCTTGCCTTCCCTTGCCTTGCTTCGGTACCATCAAGTGGCCATGCAAAATACGTGTAATTGGATTTCATATGAGACTGCGCGCTTATCCTACGCGAGTATGCGAATATGCGACGAGTATGGAAGTATGCGAGGAAGCAAGCAAGCAAGCGAACGAACTAAGGATTTATTGCACAATTTATTATATCCTTTTTCATATATATATATATAATATTCTCTTATATACAGAGTTGTGTGTCTTAAACATTTACTGAAACCAAAAAAGAACCGAATGTCAGGTGTGTTCTATGCACGAATATGAAAATAAAATGTCATTATGCACAAAGGTCTCTTGTAAAATTTTCATTAAAATGTTTAATTATATTCATAATATTATTGTTTGATAATAGAAAATCATCGTATATTGATAATTATAAAATTAATTTCATATTACTACGATTATTAATCTTTTCAATATTTTTTCAAATCACATTTTCTAGGGAAATTGACTCTAATAATTATTTTTAATTTTTACTTGGAAAAAAATCTATTCACGTTATAATATACTGTTATATAATGAATTTGGAATGTATGCGTGTATGAATATTGTTATATTAGGATTGCAACCACATGACATCTTGCTTTATTATTAATAATGCAGAAAAACACTTTAGTTGAATTTTTGATGATGCTTGACTAAAGCAAATATAAAATTCATTAAAGCAAACTAAAGAGAACTTAGTAAACATTCCTTCTTGGTTATATAAGTTCATAATAAATAAGCAATATCATATATATATATATATACATAGTAAAGTAAGTACATTTACGTGATATTTGAAAATGATTTATTCTCATGTGTAAGTTAACATTTAAATTCTCGTTAGAAAAATGATTTCATTCTTTAAATTATGTCAAGCGAAGTTAATAATTCTTTCTCTCTCTCTTTCACATTTTTTTTTACGTATTTACATTGCCACGACATTTGTTTAAAAATCAGAGCAAAGGGGTGGAAGCAAAAGGTGAGGTGTAAAGGTGTACTGTGTTGCACTGTTGGTGCATGGCTTTAGGCGTACACAACACCAATTCTCTACGAGCAAATGCTAATTTTAAAACGAGGATTTATTTGTAAAGCGGTTAATGAATTGTCACCGGCCTCGTTTCGAGGTATTAACGATAAATAGAAAATTTATCGGACATACATTACAATCGAATCGAATCGAATCGATAAATAAATAAATATAGATATATATATATGTATTTTCTTTTTCTACTTGCATGCATTTGATAAAATAAAAATATGTACTACTATTCTCTTTGATTAATTATAATAATAATAATTATTATTATTATTATTATTATTGTGCACATATAATATATTTCTGTTTGCGTTGGAAACAAATTTTTTTGATCTCAAAATAAAAAGAAGAAGATAAAGAAATAAAAAAAAAAAAAAAAAAAAGAAAAACAGGAAAGTTTCGTTATTATCATTTAATTAATAATTCCATTTTCAAATGAGGGAGAGGGGGCTAATTAAAAGATCAACTCGAAGAGAGAGTCGGTTGAGAATTGAAAAGAATAAAAAAGTGTATGACGAGTGTCACGTAGCAAGTTTTCTTTTGAGGGTTGGAAATAAAAAAATGAATTTGTTAGCCTGCTTCTTTACAGGTAATCATCATCACTACCATCGTATCTAACTCGTTTCACCTTTTCTACGATCATTTTTTATCTTCTTCTTCTTCTTCATCTTCTTCTTCTTCTTCTTCTTCTTCTTCTTCTTCTTCTAAAGTACAATTTATCAGTATTTATGATTCAGATGTTGGTACGTAGAACGAATCAAGTACTTTCATCGGAAAACCAAGAATAAATGAAATTACGCTTCGCCGAGTCGCAATCAGTGTTCCATATTTCCGTTCGTTCGTTCATTCGTTCATTCGTTCGTTCATCCGTTTCGTTTGGAAGCTCGCAAGCTCACAAAACTCTGCTTGCACATATATATTTAGAAAAGTGTATTTATTAACGAGGTTAAAACACAATTTTGTTTCTCATATTCATATTTTTATGTTTATATGTGTTATATGTATGTAATGTTGCTTATTAATATATTTAGAAAAAAAAAAAAAAAAGAAAAAAAATAAGGAAAGGAAATAAAATTCATGTATATGTTTTATATTTTTGTTAATTTTTGTTTGTTTATTTGTTTGTTTGTTTGTTCTTTCGCAGGTATAGATTTGCGTACGCATTCGAAGAAAACTCAACAAACTCAACGACAAAAATCGCTCATGGGAAAAGTGGGTCGCAATCATGACTTCACCCTTACACCGAGAGATTTCAACTATGACAATCATCACTATCGTTATCTCAAGTATACCAAGCGTGCTAAGGTAAGTTTAGAAATTATTTATATTTACAAAATAAAAATAAACTATTGTGGGTTGGCAAGAAAGTAATATTTTACACTAGAAAACCGAAATTACTTTCTTGCCAATCCAATATAATATCATCATTATATAAGTTTATGTAGAATTATTAATAAAAATAAATTTCTAATTTTATTTTTCAAGATTTCATTTAAAAATATAATATAAAATAAAGAAAGTAATAAGCTACGTTATTGATAGATGATATATTAAATATAAAAAAAAAAAAGAAAATATACATTTATGTACGTAATTTTTTATTACATCGTAGTAAATTGAAATTGTTTTTCTTTTTCTTCTTCATTCTTTTTTTTTTGTCCTATCGCGAAAGCACAAAATTTACAATACTATTCTCTTTATATATATATATATATATATATATATATATATGTGTGTATGTTGGGAAATAAGAGAACGTAAGTGATACAGGAGAGAGATGTATGATTTATCGGCAACATTCCAATATCCGATTCCGTCTAGCGAAGGTGGTAGTTTTTGTTGCCAGGAAGTTTCGTGGTTGAGAGGGTGGATAAAAGAAAGAAATAGTAGGGAGAGTATTACAGTAGGAATTCGTTTTACATAGACGATAGAAAGAGTCCAAACAGTTTGTTTTTCTAGGATTAAAAAAAAGAAAAGAAAAAGAAAAAGAAAAAGATCGATGGATAAAATGGAATAAGAATAAGAAAAAAGAGATTTTATGTATCTCGTTTTGCGAAGGGTGAAAGAACAAAGAAGAAAAATAATATAACAGGAAGGAAGGAAGGAAGGAAGGGAGGGAGGGAGGGAAAGAGTCCGAAAAGAGGTTAGGTATAGTAGTTATACATGAAAGAAATAAAAAAAAAAAAAAAAGGAGGGTAGAAAAACATATACACCCACATATACATAGTTGATTTCTTCTTTTCCCATAGGGTCGTCGTAGCGTTTAGTATCAAACCGTATTCCGTGTTTCTTCAACGTGCAAGAAACAGCAGTCAGCTTTTTATCGATCCACGTATATACCAAGCACAACCACCACCACCACCACCACCATTACCATCATCACTATAACCAGGGCTTAGCAGGGTCCTCGTAAATTCACAAGGTCGCGAGCTTGAACAGCTTTTTAACCTTCCTCGAGTCTGCTAAATTGTTGCGTATTATTTTTAGTGTCCCCCTCTCATACATACATTCGTATATATGTATATATACCAGGTATATATTTATATATATATATGTATATATGTATATTCTTTTCGTGGCCTCGATAACGCGTCCAGTTTAGAACGAACTTTTTTACTTTTCTCTTTATACACTTCCCTTTTATTTTCTATTGCTGTTTTTTTTTTCTTATTTTTATTATTGTATATATATTTTCCCGTAGGGTATTTTTTCAAAAAAAAACAAAAAAAAACAAAAAAAGAACTTTTCACAAGATACCCTTTAGTTGTTTCCTCCTTGTAAACATTTAATACGATAAATTATTGCAACTAACAACAAGGATTTTCAACTTTAATAGGATTTTTCTTCTTTTAATTAATATTTTCATTTATATATATATATATATGTAAAGAAAGTGTACTTTCTTCCTTTGTGATTACGCGCGCTTTCATAAGTAGGAAGGTAGTAGGAAAGGCGTTATGTGTATAAACCTAATTGGATACACAAACAAAAGAGACAAAGCAAAKATGTAACGTATATGGATCAGAGGGGATATAAATAAGAGAGAAAAGACGTTACATATACAAATCAGATTAGATATTTAAAAAGGATAGATAGATTTAATAGACTAAGAAAGTRAGTGATAAAAGTGAAGAATAGACATAATTGTCGTTTTTCGTTTCAGGTAATATTATATTATTCATTTTGTAAATATTGTATATAGGAAATAAGGTTGACATAGAAATAAATTCGTTTCAGAACAACACTTTGTGCTATTCTTGACCGTTTTGTTTGAACCATTCCTATTCTGGATTGGTTTTTGGACAATTCCTATATATTTTTTTTTCCCTACTCTTGTTGCTTTTTAATAAATAGAAAAAAAAAAAATATATATATATATATATAGAAATATTATCTCCTCTATTTCGCGAGATTAATTCTAAATGCTTTGTTAGAGAACGAGATTATGAATAGATCGATAAATAATTGTGAACAAAATAACGGAAACAACGTGGTTATAATCTCTCTTCCACCGATAAGAGATTAGATTTGAGAAGATGCATTATATTAATCCTTTTTAGATAGAGAGAGAGAGAGAGAGAGAGAGAGAAACAACACGAATGCATGTACAAATGCAATTATTACGGTAAATTTATAACGATATCGCATTAGTTTACAGTCAAAATCAATAATATAATAATAACAACAACAACACGTCATGGTATTGCAATTACAAGTATAGATATAATATTGCGATTGATTTATTATTATAACAAAACGTTCAATCACACAAAAATATATTATTATTAAATATCTCGTCATTATTAAAAACAAATAGAAATCAATCGACGAATATTTGTCAATGATAAATGATACAATAAACAAAAAAAAAAAAACAAAAACAAAAATATGAACATTATTAAAATGACAACGAGTGAATCAGTTTTGCAATTGCAAGGTTATAAAACTAAGTAAAAAATGGTAGTGGTTGTGTTAAAAAAAAAAAAAAAGAAAAAGGAAGGAAGGTTGAGTTGTTAACGTCCGATGGCCCTGACGAAGTACTATCACAGGAAAGGGTTTTTACTTGAGAAAAAGAGAGAGAGAGAGAGAGAAAATAAGTAAGAGTATCGTCGGAAATACTCGTCGGGAAAAGGGAACGACGACTACGACGACTACGACGACTACGACAACTATACGACGATGACGACGTTTGCGCTCGTCTTCTCTACACTTTACTTTCTCCTTTTAATTTGGGCTTTACTAAACGAGAACTCCTACAACGTGTGAGAGAAATAGAGATAGAAATATATATATATAGAGAGAGAGAGAGGGATGATAAGGGTGAAGAAGTGGCGGTGAAGGAAGGAAGAATGGGTTTGCTCTTGTAGATGAAGAAGGAGACGGTGAGGAGGAGGAGGAGGAAGAGGAGGAAGGGAAAGGGGGAAAAGGGGGAGTACTGAAGCGAGCTAATCGACGAAGATTGCCAAAAGTAGTGCAAACGTTTCTCTCTCTCTCTCTCTCTCTCTCTCTCTCTCTTTCTCTTTCAGTTGGAAAACGTCGTCTTCTACAAGCTCTCGTTTTCCTACTACTCGTTTTATTCAACATTTCTGCTATCCTCGTTTGTCTCCTCTAAATCCCAACCTTCCTTCCCCTTTTACAACTTAATTAAATCAACGTGATCGAGGACGTGCATTTCTCCCTTCACCCTCCTCCCTTATGCCTTCTTTCTCTCTTCCTATTTTAAGAAAACAATTCTAAATCTTTTTTTCTTTTTCTTTCTTTCTACAAAAATTTCATTTCATTCAATACCAATATCCGTGAGAATCTTCATTTCGATTTTTCGATCGAGTTAATTGCGTGCGTTCACATTTTTTTTTTGTGTCTTTTTAATTCATTTCTTATCACACGTGCACACGTATTATATAATATAATAAAATGTCGTAGAAAATGAATAAAATTGATTTGTTTTTTTTTTTTTTTAAATAGGATATAAGTAATATATCGTAGAATATTTAGGAGACAAAGAAATGAATTTTTTGTGGGGGGAAAGGGAAAAAGATAGTCAACAAAAACAAAAACAAAAAACAAACAAAACAAAACGAATTTAACGAGAAATTAACGTGGATATAACGTTAATCGACTTGGACAGTGGTCAAAAGTGACTGGCACATTATTTTAATGGCCGATTCTGGGGGTTGTAACCGAGCGAGTCCACGCGAAAACCAGGACTAATTTATTTCGATTCGTTTCTGCAAGCCACGCAATTATCGCAATACATGCGTCCGAATTGCATACGCGATCGACCTCTATTGTCTATCCTTTTCTCTCTCACCTATCTGCACATGCATTATTGCATATATATATATATATATATAACGCCCTTGTGAATCTACGATCTTGTTAATTAAATTGACAAATCCAGTATCCTCTGCGATATCGGTCTCTCGTACCACTAACATTAAAGAGTGAAATAGAATGAGTGAATGAGTGAGTAAATGAGTGAATGAGTGAGTAAGTGAGTGAGTGAGTGAGTGAGTGAGTAAACGTTTCCACCTATTCCCATTTCCACCTCCTCCTCCTCCTCCTACATATGTATATGTAAACGCTGCTAACCTATTCGCGGTAACGTACCTTGAAAACACGTGCATGCATATCTAGATCTATGTGCACTTGTTATACGTGCGTGTATCATATGTGTATGCGTGGAATATGCGTTTAAGTACCTTTCGATTGTTCTCATTCTCTTTCCAATGAACTAATTGTCAATAAAAAAAGAAAATCCGATACAAGCTTTCGATAATCGATCTTTGATCAATCCCGTTCTAACAATTCAAATAATAATAATAATAATAATAGTAATCGTTGAAAGTTACGTTGTTGAACTTATCTAATCTTTCGCATACCACGTGTTCTTTCTCGTCAAGTATGCTAATTGGATATCGATTCGATTCAACCTAATTGCTTCGACACACTCCTTATATTTCTTTCAAGATAGTTATTCGAGATTAGTATAGGAATATGTATATATATATAAGTGATAATAGTAAATGATTGTAGTAGTAGTAGTAGTAGTAATGGTATTAACTATTTGATAATTGAACATATAGGATTAAAGTCTGTAGAATTATTTCGATTTCTTTCGACACGCTAGATTCTCATTCCTTCGTTACAATTCGAATCCGTTCGGATCATTATATATTTATGCTCGACCTATGGGTTAGAATAGAACTTTGTTACATTATTCAACATGATTCTGAAACATCGATTGACGTTATTGTGCAAGAATAATAATGATTCCTTTTCATTCTCCTTCCCACCCACCCACTCACCACCCCTTTTATCTTTTTTTCTTTTTTCTATTTAGGTGAACAAAATTTATTGGTTGGCACACGATGATAACGTTGGAATCTATGTATTTTTTTTTTTTTTTTTTTATGTTATGTTATAATATAAAATATATATGCATGCACGCTTGCTTGCTTGCTTTTATGCGAGTAGAAGAGAGAAAGAAAGAAAAGAAAAAAAAAAAAGCAAAAAGGTGTGAAAATAATCGATGAGATAAAAAAGTACTTTTCAAGATTCTTTTCAAATTTTGTTCTCCTCGAATATTTTTCAAACACTTTTTTACTTTTACTTTGGAAGAATAAGAATCGACTAGTACTTTTGGTCACCGCTGACGGATAAGTAATTTAAGTTTTCTAACGGCGTCTCCATTCGGTTATCTCATTTCCATGAAGTTGGGTTGGATGCTTCTGAGCTCGTGAAAGGATCAGTTGAGAGAAGAGAAAAGAAAAAGAAAAGAAAAAAAAAAGAAGAAGAAGGAAAAGAAGAAGAAAAAGAAGAAGAAGAAGAAGAAGAAGTGTATGAGTAAGAAAGAGAGGTTTAGAACAGACAGTATTCTGAATCGAGCTTCTCGGATCAGTTCAGAATGAATCCAAGGAAGTTCGTTAAATTATTCCTCCACTCTGTGGTAATTAATAGTTATTCAGTTTCGTATTCGCCTTGTGACGTAGGAATCTCATGAAATGTACAAAGGAACACGTGAATTAACTTTTCCATTCTTCTATACTTATATATATATATATATGTTTCTTCTTCTTTTCTCTCATTTGTTACTCTATTTCTAAGTTCTAATATCTTTCTTAGTATTTAATACATAATTATGACGAATGTTAATTAGTTCTGTCATTTAAAAATATCACAAGATTATACACAGTTCAAAAACCTGATACGTAATTAATTCATTATTAACTTTGACAATGTTATTATCACTAATGATAACATTATTACAAACTACATAATAACATACATACATACATATGTACAATAAATGTATTGTAATAAAATATATTGTACATATATTGTATAGTAGTATAATTACTATAATAACATTATTACGCTAATAATAATATTGTCACAAATATTTCATAATAGAAATATATAAATAAATCTATTATAAAATATTATAAATTATAAGAAATTCTTTTTTAGCTTTTTATACGTCACATATCTTTTACATGCACTCGTAAGATATTCAAATAAGAGAAAGTGTCATGGGACGTATAAAAATAAAAAAGTAAAAGAGAGAGAGAGACAGAGAAGGAATATATATATATATATATATATATATATGAGATTAGCTTTCTCATATTTTTCGTATTTTCGACGAATTTTAATAGAAAATTCGAAAGGTTCTTCTCTTACCATATCGACAACTTTATTGGATATAATCCACCATTCTAAAAATCCCTACGACAGCAGCCAATGTTAGAGTATTGGTACTTCCTCGTGGTAAACTGAATGTGTTAGTGATAGTAGTAGTAGTAGTAGTAGTAGTAGTAAAGGATCGTACGAAAATCGTTAAAAATATGAAGGTGACTTAGGTTCTTTATTACCAGATATTTTATTGCGTCAACGCATCTCTTTCGAACTTTTGATCGGATTATTATTATTTTTTTTTTTTTTATCTTTCTAACATTTTATATCTTTGGTAATAAAGAACCATCCTCCTCCCTTCTATTGTAGTTTCGATCATAAAATTTGAATATTGTCATTTGATTTTTATGATTATTCGTGGCTACAGTATATTCAGTATTTATATTATTATTTTTATTATTATTATTATTATTATTATTATTAATTATTAATGTGATAATTTTATTTGACAAATTTGTTTATAACGTATTCATGCAAATGTTGGTAATTCGAGAGTACAGGGGTTGAATTTTAAATATATTTCACGAAACATAGAAATTCGTTGAGTCATTTTGAAAACTTCTATGTACATAGAGATTTAGGAAGAATGGCATTCTAGGAAGCATTTGCTCGTTACAACGATGACCATTAAAACTGTGGCAAGCGTTGCAGCTTTCATGCTATATATATATATATATATATGTTTCGCATTTCGCTTCTACAACTCCTTACAATAGTAATTTAATTTCAATGGTCTGACTGAATTTAGAACAGAATGTAAGTGTAATAATCCGAACTTATAACATGGAAATGATGAAAATGATATTTAATCGAGAAAAAAGAGGAATAAAATTAGGATTAATGTTTTTACGATAAATAATTAAGAGTATAATTAAAAGAAAATAAAGAAAATGATAGTAGTAGTAGTAGTAGTAAGTAGTAGTAGTAGTAGTAGTATAAACTTAAAACAGATCGAACGATACGAGTAATGCCATCTAACGAGACAAAGTAAGAATTATTATTTAAATTTAAAATGTGTGTTAGTGACTTGTTGTGTACAACACACGTTCAACGATAATACTATGATATTCTTCTACATTTTTTTTTTCTTTTTTTTTTTTTTAATATTATTCATTGCATTCCTTTGTTTGTTTTATTCTTTGTTTTATTATTTTACCAAGTTATCCTTTGTTTTATTCTCTTTCAGTTAACACCAGGTAACGATGTGCATGTAATTCGCAAAAATATTCGTCCCTATTTTCTTTTTTCCTTTTTTTTTCCCTTTTTTTTTTCCCCTGTAATCCTTCCTGCCGCTCGGTGGTGTAGCATCATAAAATTTCAGGATATAACACGCCGTTGCACCGTAGTTATTTCTCTATCTCTTTTTCTCGGTTTAAAACAAAAAAAAAAACAAAAAGAAAAGGTGGTTTGAACGTTTTAAATTCGTTATAATTTCATGCTTTCTAATAATTTAACATTCAACGGGACCCTCTTTTGTCCCTACAAAGCGACACAACACACACAGAAAACTCCTGTTCCCCTTCGTTTTCTTTTTTCATCGTTTTTTCAATTTTCTAAATTATATTATTACTCTTTTACCAGAACAACAAACACGATAATTATATTAATGAGGAAGAAAAAGTAGAAGAGGAAGAAGAAGAAGAAAAAAAAAAAAGAACAAGAGAGAACGTGAAATAACTCGGAGGAATTTCTTCATAGGTTGGTTGAGGGGATTAATTTTCTCATTTCACAGGAGAGAAGAGAAAATCACGTTTAATCATCGAAACTTTTTAGGATCCTGCAGAACGAAATAAGATTTTCCTAGGATTAGTTTTAACATTATATAGGATATAAACCTTTTGCAATATCAGTTGTCGCACGTGGTAACAATTTAAGTAAGGTTTATTTTGGCTTCGGATAGTTTGCTGAGTTTACTATCTCCTTGTCATGTTGTGAATCACACACATTGTCTTCTCTCTCTCTCTCTCTCTTTCTTTCTCTGTCTATCTTTATCTTTTATCTTCTCTCCCTAGTTCCCTTTTTTTTACTTTTCCTTTTAGTTTCTCATCTTTCCAATTTTCTCCTCTTGCACTAACATTATTACGAGTCTCTCTTAGCCTTTGCTATATTTTATCTTGTTAGAACATTATGATGCTTTTATTCCTTTTATTTCTCATACATACACACACATCTACTCTTTCCCTATAATATATCTTTCACTCCTTCACACATACTTCTACATCCAATTATTACCTCTCTAATACGCATACATATATACACGAACATATACAAGTATTCTCCCTCTTTCTTTTACTAATACATCTAATTATTCTCTCTCAAACACAAATACACATATACTAATACGATCATTCTCTCTTATATTTGTCGTACTTTCTAACACACACATTTATATGTTCTCTCTCTCTCTCTCTCTGTCTCTGTTTCATTCTCTTTGACCTGTCCCTGTCTTTCTCTGATTCGCTCTTCTGTTGGATCGATGGAAAGATGAGGGTGGAAGAAGAGGATGAGGAGTATGAGGAGGAGGAGGAGGAAGAGGAGGAGGAAAAGGGGTCTCTCTGGTGGCTAGTCAGGGGGAACCTTTCGAAAATACGTATGCCATCCTTGTGGCTGTTATAGTTCGATCAATCGGACGTTGAGAGGAGAATTCCACACTCGAAAGACACTCATCCTGCTCGTTATGCGAAAACGTATTTGCATTTTATTTGCATACCGAGCGAGAGACAATATGAAGGGGACCGACAGAATGATACGAGAATGAGACGAGAGAACTTTGAACGCGTTTCGAAAACGAAAAGACGATTCTATGTTTGCTTTTTCTCGATCTAACTTCTTTCTTTCATCTTTTTCTTCCTTCGTGAATTTCATTAAAGAGAAATGCTTGTTTGGTGTTTTTTTTTTCTCACCCCTTGGGACACCCATAGATTTTCACGTGAGAAAAGAAACATTTGAAATCGGATCTTGTTCCTCTTTTTATCGGATCTATAATCTAAAAATTTATATATATATATACACCTGTGTATATGTGTATCGTTTATGAATATTGAATTTGAAAAGCAAGTAATTTAATTATTTCTATAGGATGTATATATAAATGTATAAAATAAATTTTGTTTCGTAGACTCTCGCATCGGCTAACAGATACGACGATAAACATTTATTGAGTAACGAAGTTATGGAAAAATCAGCAGTATCATCACCAATGAAATCAACTTATAACACGGATTGTCCACCATCGTCAAAACCAGCAATGGCTAATCGACTTTTGGATTGGTTCTCGGTCGTAATGGCAGATGCGAAACATCGTCGTCAACATCCTAAACCCATTGGTAGGTATTATCAACCCTCGTATCGATAAATTTATATCTGTCATTTTCTTTTAACAAGAAAAAGAAGAAAAAATAAAAGGAGAAATAAGAATAAAAGTTATTTTGATAATAAAAAAAAAAAAAAAAAAAAATATTCTCTTCTGTCTGTATAATCTAACACATTTATGATCCTAATATATATTTTTTGGGGGGGTTAATCTTTAGGTCACTTCCCAATCCCTTGCCAAAGCGAAGTAAGGTGGATGTTTGGACATTTGGACAGCGACAGCGATGGTAGGATCTCGCTTTCTGAACTTTACGGATTGGAACATGATCAGAACGAGCCATGCCTAAAACCTTTCCTCGATAGTTGCGATACTGACGGGTAAAATAAATAACTTATGTCAAACTTCTGTCTTTCTTTCATCAATCCTATTTGATCGATATAAACCATCATGTAATTGTAAAAAAGTACAAAATCATTTTCACAAACGATATTTTCCATTCGAACGTTTGTTTTATTTTTTACAATTTTTACAAAAAAAAAACACAGATCGAATTATTATGTGAAACTTTAGGTCGCATTTTATTTCGTATCGCGTATATTTTTGTTATTAATAAGTCAAATAATATTTTCTATCTTCTAAATATGATAGCAAAAAAAGAAAAAAAAAACGGGAATCCCGTTAACATTTGTAAAAGGATACCGTATAACTGATAATACCGCAAAACACATACGAGAAACATCATATTGAATTTTTGTTGGCCTACTTGTGTATTGACTGTCGCCGTTGTGGATGTATTTACATCGTGTAACACGATACGACAAATAAATGTAAAATATAAAAAAAAGAAAATTGTGGGAAAAATAGTACGTTAAATGAAAATATTTTCAATCGTTCGATTGGAAAATGTATCCTGTGCAAATATAAATACATTGGATGTAAAAAAAAATCAAAGCAAAGCCACGATCTCGTTTAGCTAAAACGATGTATGTATACATATATATATATATTTATTTATTTATTTATTATTTATAGAGATATTTTTGTGAGCGGTATGGAATGGTGCGGTTGTTTTGCTAAAGCTGAACGACCCTGTGCTGCAGTACGCAGACGATCACCGTTAGAAGTAGCACCAGCATGCGATTCCAGAGGATATTATCGAAGCACTCAGTGTCATCGAGGACTTGGCCTTTGCTGGTGCGTCGATCCCCATGGTGTTGAATTTGCTGGTACCAGAACTCGTGGTACAAAACCTGATTGCGGTAAGTGATAGTAAAAAATAACAAATTTTATATTCCATGTATAAGTTAAAAGTGAAACCTTCAAATACAAACAAGTGGAAGGTTGCATTTCTACAGGCGTAATGTTTTTATAAATAATGATAAAAATTTAACTTTAATTTTGTAATTAACATGCTTTATAGTATGCAGTCGCACACAAAAACAAAAGATATAGAATAAAAAAAAAAACTGTATACTATATTCTATCTCATTCTCATTCACAGACTAAATTCTAAACCTGTCGCGTTTTCATCGCATCCGTTTTCAAATCATCTCCATTTTAAAGTTTTCATTAAAAAAAAAAAGAAAAAAAGAAATAGATCTAATTAATACAAATTGTATTCATAGATACAATCGTGAACAAGATCAGCAATGGCGGCCTGAAAACGAACAGCGTTGATTTGG